CTAGACTGTAATGAATGTGTTAAATTTGAATTCAGTAATAATATGTAATCACATTTTATACAAAAAACGATTCTGTGCAGACAGGCTGTCAGCCTTTAATACTACTAAGTATATTTTATGATATTAGGTATTGTGATTAAAATAATTTATTGTTCTATTACACATAAGTACCTACAGTAGGTTAAATTAATTTTTCCGAAAAAATTGCATTTGAAAATGTCATTATGTATAAAATATTTTAAAAGTTTCAAGTAATTAAAATTTTTAAATTACAACAAAATAACTAAAATCGTATTTCTTTGTTTAAATATCTAATTTTAACCTAATTTTAACTTACAATGTCTATAAAATTAACTGTGTTTATGTAATTTTTAATTGACATATTATGAACTATTTATCATAATCATAATTTTAATTGTTCAATCCTTAGTTATAAATATTCCCCATTAAACATTTTTTATTGACAATAATTAAAAAAAACTAATAGAAATCAAAATTATCTTATGCCTATAAACAGCCAAATGATAATGTTAATAACAAAAGAATTATCAGTGTTGTGGATGTCTAAATTAATAATAGGTATTTTGTCAATGATTTAATGTAATTTAAATACTATATTTTCAGTGAATTACGTGAATCAGGCTTTTGGATTGCCTTGTCCAAATGGTTGTGGCCGATCGTACTATGGTGGAAACCGCAAACATAATCTCAAACGTCATTTGAAGTATGCGTGTGGCACTAATCCACAATTTAATTGTACATTTTGCAGAAAACAATACAAGCATAAGCGTTCATTAAAAAATCATTTAGTTCAACATTGTTCATCAAGAAAAAAAATTTTTTTTAAATAAACTTTGTGTTTGGAATTTAAATATATTATTTTAATTGTATTAAAATACTTAATATAATATATTATCTATGTTCAGGAAATATCGACGGCTACTAAAGTGGCTTATTTTAGTTTCTAAAAAACAATGAATGCAACCATATTTAAAGGTTATTAGTATGAAATATATTAATACATTTTTATGTTATAAAAGTAATTTAAAAAAAAAACAAAATCAAAAACCCAAGTATTTATATTGCTTTGCTCAGATTCTTAAGTTAAATTGTAACAGATATCAATCCAAATAATCCTCAAAACATTCTATCAGTCTATATTAACTATATTTTGTTCAACGTTTAACATAATTTAAATATTTTTTTTAGTTAGTTGCATGAATCAGTCTTTTGGAGAAGATTCATTATCTTGTCCAAGTGGTTGTGGCCGATCGTACAAAGGAGGACACCGTAAATACAATCTCAAATATCATTTGAAGCATAATTGTGGTATAACTAAACCCCGGTTTTATTGTAAATTTTGCAAAAAACAATTTTGGCATAAGCGATCATTACAGTTTCATTTAGTCAATGTTCATCAAGAATATTAACTGAAATAATATTTATTTTTTTTTAAATTTCACTTAGTATTTGTAATTTAAATTGTATTGAAATTACTAACTACGTATAAAATACTTATGAAGTTATATTTGGGTAATATCATCAGATTCAAAATTAGAATATTTATATTTTTCAAAAAGAAAGAATGGAAATTTATTTAAATAAAGGATATCATGTATTAATTTAATTGTTACCCAAAATATATAAATTTGGTTCAAAGAGAGATCAATTTTAATAACACTCAAAAGAATCTTTAAAACCAGTCAACCACTGTAACATTTTATTACCTGTCCAAACTAGTACTAGACTATTTGTTTTCGATAAAATGTAGGGTGATACCAGGTATGTTGGGAGGTAATTCATTTAAAAATGATGGAACTCTATGAAATATTATATTATTATCAATTAATTAATGAATCAGGATTTTGGAAAATATTCATAATTTTTTCCAAATGGTTATTGGCTGATTGTATGAAGGTACAAATCGCAATAACAATGCGTGTAACCACAATTTCTTTTTACATTTTTACAGAAACAATTTAGACCTAAGTGTTAGTTGCATGTTCTGTTAGCCAATGTTTATGAATACAGTTTTGTAAAATAAATATTAGGCTATCTACGTTATATGTTTAGAGAGTACTTATTACATTTCAAAATAGAGAATGCATTTATTTAATACTTTTGAATATTAAGTGTTTTAATTTTAATATTATAATTGTTATAAAAATCGAATCATCTTCTCGAAAATACACAAAGGAAGCACGTTAAAAACCAAATTTAGATCATTGACATTTATAAAATAACTTTATTTTGATGATATTAAGAAATTATGTGTTCTTTTTTCAGTTAATTACATGAATAAGACTTTTGAAAATGATCCAATGTTTTGTCCAAATGGTTGCGGCCGATCGTATAAAGGTACAAACCGCAAAAACAATCTTCAACATCATTTGAATTATGCGTGTGGCATTAATCCACAATTTCAATGTGCAGTTTGCCAAAAAAAATTCAGAAAAAAACAATCATTGAAGTATCATATGATGACAGTTCATCAAACATGCATATTCTAGAAATAAAAAAAAAGTTATGTAAAAAATAAAAATAAAGAATTGTACAATAATTACAGATTTCATAACTATTATTTTCAACTACTCAAATGTTATATATTAAAAATAATAATAATAACTTAGTTTTAATTTGAAGAATAATAAAACTTAATTTGTATATTAGTTGTATGTTTCTATTCAATGTCAGCGAATTCTATGTAACTATATCCCCGTAGACCATTCTTACAGTTTATTCCCGTGAATGTACCATCATCATTTATCAATATAACCAGTTAACTTATATCAAAAACATAATACGCAGGATACTTGCTACTAAACTAAAATCCATTTTTAAATAATATAACATAATTAACAATATTAAAGATTATCAAGTTTTTAGTTATAGCTCATTTTAGGGATATTTTAATTTTCTTAGACCACGGCCAACGTATAAAACCTTGAACTATAGCACTCTCATTTTCCAACTCATTAGTTTCCATAGCGAGAAACGTGTTTAGGGAAGGGGGGAGTAAAGTCCTGATCACCCCCGTATTAATTTTTAGGGATGGCATTATTGTGCTATAATCTTCTGTTAATGAATAGCTATGTAAATTAGCTTAAATTTTTTATTGTACCCCAATTTAAATATTACTCAAGTTAAAGAAAAAACTGAAAGGTTAAGAAAAAATGGACGAGATTTATCATTATCAAACAAATCTATGATCGTTAATTATCACCCGAGCCCCAAATGTCTGAATACGTCTCTGCCATAACACTAAAAAAATCATAGTAATCTATTAATTGAATTGGGAAGACTTCTGATTTATTTTTTCTTGCATCCGCACAACTACTATGCTGAAGTGACTATCTTCATGTTTAAATTACTATATTTGTTCCTACTTTATATTGGATGTAAAATATGTTGTGGTTGTTGGAAACTTATTAAATTCAATATTTAATATTTGAGTCAAATTTTTAATGTTCATGTATTATATATTGTGTAATTATTTTTCGCTTGCTATATGGAATGCATAAGAATCAAAATATTAACATCAATCATAATGCGCTTTGGTTTTTTCATAACAATTATATTTGGTCAATAAAATAATGCAATTTAAATGTTATATTTGCAGACGATACAATAACGGAATTATTTTGTAACGCTAGTGAAAATGACCCAATATATTGTCCATACAATTGTGGTACTTTGTTTAATGGAAGATATCGAAAAAAAAATCTAAAAAGACATTTAAATTTTTCGTGCTTTGTTAACCCAAAAGTAGAATGTAAATATTGCAAAAAAACAATTAGAAATAAAAGATCATTAGATTATCATATGATGACTAATCATCCAGAACTTTTAATTTAAAGTGGGTTTAAAGGCAACACCTTAAATTAATATTATTTGTATTTAAATATGTAGAACTATTTTGATTTTATAAATAAAGTACATTTTGATTTAAAGTAATACTGATTTATTTTATTTGTTTCAAAACAGTATCCTACCTGGGAATAAAAGTGTGGGGGGAGGCTGAACAAAGCAAATCAGAATCTGATATTGATTACCTTATACTAGGTCGTTATTACTATAAACTGTACACGTAATAATCTCTACAAATAATTGATAATACGCAAAATGTTTCTTCAAAACGGTTTTCAGAAATATCATGGTTTGTACTTTGCCTTTTATTATATAAGATTTATACCATAACACGGCCAATAGGGCTTCCCCCTTAGAACACCACTGTTTCAAAATACATTATACATACCTTCATCCATTTATTTTAATACAGCGGCGTAACGGAATAAAAATCTAGGGGTGGCAAAAAAATGAACCTCCCGTTCGGCCGCTCCTGTAGTCATAATCGCGATTTTAAGATAATTACGTGTTCACGAATCACGGATAATAATAGTGAAGAAAAATGCTATTATTGCGATAACAGTAGCACTGACAATATGTCAACATAATATTATTCAACAAGAGAAACCTAAAATAAATCTTTTATAAAGTAATTTGAGGAAAAAAATATTACGCTACTGTTTTAATACAAATTCTGCTGATTGTATTTTAATTTCTTCTGCTATGATTAAAATCACGATTCAAGGTAAGATATCAAAAACTAGACCACTCTGGAATTTGACACTGGGAAAATATGTTCAAAGTCAGGTTTTAATGAAAGATAGTGAAGATATTACCGAAAATGCTCATGGTAATAGGCCAACCTATTTCAAAGGTTCAACAATTTCATATCATCATATGTGGTTTTTATTATAATTAATTATTAACTATATAACATAAATAAAGTTTTTTTTTAAAACATAAAATTCTTTAAATGACTATTTAGCTGTGTTGTATTGTAGAAAAAAAACATTTAATATCAGCTGCTTAGCCATTCTAAAGAAGTTATGTATCTCGAGATCAACTACTGTGTACATTGTATATAGTATATATTTTATACTTGGCCAACAAATTCAAAAAAAAACTATAATGTTATGTTTTCAGAGAATACCATGATGGAATTATTAAATAAAGTATGTGAAAATGATCCTGTATTCTGTCCAAATGGTTGTGGTCATTCATATGTGGGCATGTACCGCAAACACAGTCTCAAAAAGCATTTGGTTTATGCATGTGGAAAAAATCCACAATTTCATTGTATATATTGCCAAAGACAATTCAGACATAAGCAATCGTTACAGTATCATTTAACCACTATTCATCAAGAAAATATACTTTAAAAATATTATTTTTGTGATATAAACTTTTTAATTGTAATTATAATTTATTATTATATTTTATTAAAATACTTATGTTTAGGAAATGCAGACTGCTACAAAAGTGGCGTATTTAAGTTTATCGTAAAAAATGAAATTAATTTTATTTAAAGGCTATAAGGATTAAAGATGCAATATATTACTTTCAGTATTATAATATAGTAGCAATTGAAATGCAATCCTACATATACATTTTTAATCCAAAGACCGACCAATCCTAATAATCTTCACTTAAATATACAAAAAGCTCATTAAAAACAAAATTTAGTACCAATCACAGAGCTAAGGCATTCCAAATTAACTATATACTTATTATCAAATGATATAAAATAATTTAAGTATTATATTTTCAGTTAAGGACTTGAATCAATCTTTGGAAAAAAATCAAATGTTTTGTCCAAATGGTTGTGGCCGATCATATATTGGGAAAAACAGAAAAAACAATCTCAAACAGCATTTGGTGTATATGTGTGGTGTTAATCCACAATTTTGTTGTACATTTTGTGGAAAACAATTAAGATCTAAGCAATCATTACTGTATCATATTTCCAGTGTTCATAAAAAAATTATAGTTTAAAAACATAGTTTAGTAAAATAAACTTTGTATTTGGAATTTAAATGTATTATTTAAATTGTATTTAATACCACCTACATTAAATGTAAGTTATGTAATGGCAACGGATAAAATAATAGTGACAATTTTTTAGGTCTTTCCAAAAGGAAAAATGAAATTTTATTTACGATCATGACTTACAAGGAATAAGAATAAAATATTTTAATGTTAATATTATAACAGTACTTACCTTATTGAAATATAAAAATGTAGTTTAAAGAGTGATCAATTGAAATGATCCCCACGTAAATACATAAATCCCCGTTTAAAATACATTATAGTATTGGAACAGTCTATATTAATTATTTGTTCAATGATATAAAATAATTTAAATATTATATTTTCAGTAAAGTACATGGATCAAACTGTTGAAAAATATCGAATATTTTGCTCAAATGGTTGTGGAAGATCTTATATTGGTAGAAACCTCAAATACAATCTCAAACATCATTTGAAATATAAGTGTGGTGTTAATCGACAATTTCAATGTACAGTTTGCCCAACAAAGTTTAGAAACAACGATTCATTGAAGTGTCATATGATGAAAATTCATCAAATATGTATATTGAAATAATCAAAAATGAATGTATTATAAAATAAATATAGTTTCTGATTTTATGTTTATTATTTTTATTTAACTATAAATATGAAAAAAAATTAATTAAACTTTTTAAGCTTTAATTCAAAGTATGCTAAAACTTGCTTGGTTATCTTATGGTATTAGGTTTTAGAATATTCTAACTATATCTTTGTCTGTCGTCGTATCTATCATACGTCTATGTAATTCTTTACAAATAGCTTATTTTATTTTATACAAAAATGTATAACCACGTCAAATTCAGTTCATTTAAGTTCATAACTGTTAGATTTGTTAATTTAATAAAGTATCCACAAATAAACAACGTTCTAATCCATCTTAATTTGTGATTTTTGTACAAATTATAAATTTGACTCCGAGCAACATAAAATGTAATACCAATTTATTAAAATGAAGGCCACGAATATGAGGCCAAGATAAGTGTTTAAAACCGTGAATTAAAACATGTTCGATTAGTGTATTTTCCCAAGTTGTTTATTACCATAACACTGAAAAATAGTAAACCATTTATTGAATTCGGAAAGCTTCTGATTATTTTTTAACCATCCTACACTCAGTAACCAAGCTGGAGATGACATATTTCATGTTTAACCCAATCAAAATCATAAAAGACATTTATAGCAATATATAGATATATATATAGATTCTGTTTAATCGGCATTTTTGACTCCAAATTCCAATGCCCACTGCAGTTCCGCAATGTTGGAAGTCGCGATCTCATATAGGATATCAGAAAAAAAAACAACTGAGATTGGACATTGAAATATGTTCATAGTAAATAACAAACTATGAATGATTCAAAACTTTGATATTTGATTTTTATTATAATTACTAAAAATTCTAATTAATATAAATAAGCTGTCCTTTAAAATGTATTCATGCAATGGCTGAATGGCTGTGTTATATTGTAGAAAAGAAACATTTAGTATTAGTACGTTTAATCATTTTAAAGAAGTTATGTATCTCAACATCAACTAAAGTCTACATTGTTGTATACTTATAGTTAGCCAACTAAATAAAACAACTAAAATGTTATATTTACAGAGAATGCCATGATGGAATTGTTAAATAAAGTAAGTGAAAATGATCCTGTGTTCTGTCCAAAAGGTTGTGGACATTCGTATATTGGTACACACCGCAAACACAATCTCAAAAAGCATTTGGTTTATGCATGTGGAAAAAATCCACAATTTCATTGTATATATTGCCAAAGACAATTCAGACATAAGCAATCGTTACAGTATCATGTTTCCAGTGTTCATAAAAAAATTATAGTTTAAAAACATAGTTTAGTAAAATAAACTTTGTATTTGGAATTTAAATGTATTATTTAAATTGTATTTAATACCACCTACATTAAATGTAAGTTATGTAATGGCAACGGATAAAATAATAGTGACAATTTTTTAGGTCTTTCCAAAAGGAAAAATGAAATTTTATTTACGATCATGACTTACAAGGAATAAGAATAAAATATTTTAATGTTAATATTATAACAGTACTTACCTTATTGAAATATAAAAATGTAGTTTAAAGAGTGATCAATTGAAATGATCCCCACGTAAATACATAAATCCCCGTTTAAAATACATTTTAGTATTGGAGCAGTCTATATTAATTATTTGTTCAATGATATAAAATAATTGAAATATTATATTTTCAGTAAAGTACATGGATCAAACTGTTGAAAAATATCGAATATTTTGCTCAAATGGTTGTGGAAGATCTTATATTGGTAGAAACCGCAAATACAATCTCAAACATCATTTGAAATATAAGTGTGGTGTTAATCCACAATTTCAATGTACAGTTTGCCCAACAAAGTTTAGAAACAACGATTCATTGAAGTGTCACATGATGAAAATTCATCAAATATGTATATTGAAATAATCAAAAATGAATGTATTATAAAATAAATATAGTTTCTGATTTTATATTTATTATTTTTATTTAACTATAAATATGAAAAAAAAATTAATTAAACTTTTTAAGCTTTAATTCAAAGTATGCTAAAACTTGCTTGGTTATCTTATGGTATTAGGTTTTAGAATATTCTAACTATATCTTTGTCTGTCGTCGTATCTATCATACGTCTATGTAATTCTTTACAAATAGCTTATTTTATTTTATACAAAAATGTATAACCACGTCAAATTCAGTTCATTTAAGTTCATAACTGTTAGATTTGTTAATTTAATAAAGTATCCACAAATAAACAACGTTCTAATCCATCTTAATTTGTGATTTTTGTACAAATTATAAATTTGACTCCGAGCAACATAAAATGTAATACCAATTTATTAAAATGAAGGCCACGAATATGAGGCCAAGATAAGTGTTTAAAACCGTGAACTAAAACATGTTCGATTAGTGTATTTTCCCAAGTTGTTTATTACCATAACACTGAAAAATAGTAAACCATTTATTGAATTCGGAAAGCTTCTGATTATTTTTTAACCATCCTCCCCTCAGTAACCAAGCTGGAGATGACATATTTCATGTTTAACCCAATCAAAATCATAAAAGACATTTATAGCAATATATGTGCTTCATTAACCCACAATTTGAAAGTCAATATTAAAAATAAATAAATAAATAGAAATAAAAATGAATATTATTTGTATTTAAAGTTGTCCTATTTCAATTTTATAAATTAAATAAATGTTGATTTGAAAAACACCAACTTAATTTTTTTATCTTTGTTTCAAAATAAATTATTCTTCAATGATACATTTTAATAAAAATATTTAAATTGTTTTTCAAGTATATAATATTGTGGAATATCTACAGCAAAAAAATATATATTTCTGTCTAACTCATGATATTTTATGGTAGGCTGTAGGTAACAACGAACATTTTTGGAAGCATCCATTTTATTTTTGTTTAAAAGTTCACTGTTGGAACACGTTTCAATTATATCTACAGATTGGTCTTGTTTTCAATAGATTCTGTTTAATTGGCATTTTTGACTCCAAATTCCAATGCCCACTGCAGTTCCTCAATGTTGGAAGTCGCGATCTGATATAGGATATCAGAAAAAAAAAAAAAGGTGGGTAAGTGGATGTCGCTCTGCTGTACTGTAGGTTACAAGTGGGTCATGGTATAATGGATGGTATTAAATTTGAATTCAATGATATAATATCATTGTATAAGAAAAACGATTCTGAGTGGAGACGGTATGTCAATCTAGGTATAAGACATATAATATACTTATCGATGGTATTAAAAAAAAAAATTGACCTATAATAGATACCTATAATAAATTCCAAATTAATCATATCACAATTTCCATTAGGTATCATATATGATATAATATCCCCGAATACTATTTTTAAATTACAACGAAAAACCAAGATCGTTAATATTGATTTTAATATGTAATTTCGTCCAAATTTGGATTTAAAATGTCTGTAAAAAATAACTGTGTTCATATTTTTTTTAGATTTTTTGGTTACAGTATGAACTATTTATGAGAACTTTTGTTTTAAATTTTCAACTCTTAGTTATAAAAACTGAACATTTTATAATTTTTTAATTCCAACGATTGATAATTTTCGAGATTTTGATAAATTTTGTCAAAATTCCAACTTTAAATGCTTATAAAAAAAAATCGTGCCTATGTATTTTTAATATTTTTCAACTGATATTGTAACAATATATCAGAAGCCTTGTATTAAATTACACTTTTTGGCCCAACAGATAAAACTTTATTGATATTTATAGAAAAAAAAACTAAAAAAAATTGAAAGCTGTAAATGTCCATAAACAGCTCAAAAAGAGTCAAAATATATTCAAAATTGTATGGTGTATAGGAAATGCTAATATAAACATTCAGTGAAATTTTCTTGTATCTAACAACAAAATAAGGAAATCGCTACATGAGAAATCGAGTGAAAATCCAATGTTGTAAAAATTTGAATTTCAAACGCTCATAAAAATTTAATTTGACTGTCTAGTAGAGATTTTTTTATTGATAAAGGTAGATAATCTTATAAGGAATCTTGTGTTTCATTTTCAAATCTTAGATTTAAAAAGAAAAATTTTTACGAATTCTTAACTCAAAATAATTTGCTAATTTTCGTGATTTTTCCATATTTTGTCAATTTTTGAACTTTAAATGCTTATAAAAAAAAATTGTGACTAAGGATTTTTAATATTTTTCATCTGCCTTTGAAACAACATATTAGGAGCCTTCTATTAAATTTTCAAGCTTTCGCAACCAACAAATAAAATTTTATTGATATTTTTAGAAAAAAAACTAAAAAAAAATGGAAAATGAAAATGTCCCTAAACAGTTCAAAATAAATCAAAATATTTTGAAAATGTTATCGTGTATAGAAAATTCAAATATTAACAACCAGTGAAAATTTCATGTATATACGTTCATTTGTTTTAGAGTTACACCAATAACCAAAATCGATTTTTTGGAAAACCAATTTTGCGTAAAAATTCCCGTTTTTCCTTCATTTTTATGTTGTTTTTCCCGGCGCTTGTGAAAACTATTGGGAATTTTAAATTTTGACCTACCCAATGCAACAACGATATTCACTTTCCAATCAAACAAGATACTGAAGTTGAAAATCGAAGCATTATTTCGAATACTTATCGTGTACACAGACACAAAAAAAACACACTTCATTGTAAAATCAATACATTCATCGCTCCGCTCAGAATCTAAAACAACTGAGATTGGACATTGAAATATGTTCATAGTAAATATCAAACTATGAATGATTCAAAACTTTGATATTTGATTTTTATTATAATTACTAAAAATTCTATTTAATATAAATAAGCTATCCTTTAAAATGTATTCATGCAATGGCTGAATGGTTGTGTTATATTGTAGAAAAGAAACATTTAGTATTAGTAGCTTTAATCATTTTAAAGAGGTTATGTATCTCAACATCAACTAAAGTCTACATTATTGTATACTTATATTATAGTTAGCCAACTAAATAAAACAACTAAAATCTTATATTTACAGAGAATGCCATGATGGAATTATTAAATAAAGTAAGTGAAAATGATCCTGTGTTCTGTCCAAAAGGTTGTGGACATTCGTATATTGGTACACACCGCAAACACAATCTCAAAAAGCATTTGGTTTATGCATGTGGAAAAAATCCACAATTTCATTGTATATATTGCCAAAGACAATTCAGACATAAGAAATCGTTACGGTATCATTTAACCACTATTCATCAAGAAAATATTCTTTAAAAATATTATTTTTGTGATATAATTTTTGGTGTATATGCGTGGTGTTAATCCACAATTTTGTTGTACATTTTGTGGAAAACAATTAAGATCCAAGCAATCATTACTGTATCATATTTCCAGTGTTCATAAAAAAATTATAGTTTAAAAACATAGTTTAGTAAAATAAACTTTGTATTTGGAATTTAAATGTATTATTTAAATTGTATTTAATACCACATACATTAAATGTAAGTTATGTAATGGCAACGGATAAAATAATAGTGACAATTTTTTAGGTCTTTCCAAAAGGAAAAATGAAATTTTATTTACGATCATGACTTACAAGGAATAAGAATAAAATATTTTAATGTTAATATTATAACAGTACTTACCTTATTGAAATATAAAAATGTAGTTTAAAGAGTGATCAATTGAAATGATCCCCACGTAAATACATAAATCCCCGTTTAAAATACATTTTAGTATTGGAGCAGTCTATATTAATTATTTGTTCAATGATATAAAATAATTGAAATATTATATTTTCAGTAAAGTACATGGATCAAACTGTTGAAAAATATCGAATATTTTGCTCAAATGGTTGTGGAAGATCTTATATTGGTAGAAACCGCAAATACAATCTCAAACATCATTTGAAATATAAGTGTGGTGTTAATCCACAATTTCAATGTACAGTTTGCCCAACAAAGTTTAGAAACAACGATTCATTGAAGTGTCACATGATGAAAATTCATCAAATATGTATATTGAAATAATCAAAAATGAATGTATTATAAAATAAATATAGTTTCTGATTTTATGTTTATTATTTTTATTTAACCTTAAATATGAAAATAATTAATTAATATAAATAAACTGTCCTTTAAAATGTATTCATGTAATGGCTGAATGGCTGTGTTATATTGTAGAAAAGAAACATTTAGTATTAGTAGCTTTAATCATTTTAAAGAAGTTATGTATCTCAACATCAACTAAAGTCTACATTATTGTATACTTATAGTTAGCCAACTAAATAAAACAACTAAAATGTTATATTTACAGAGAATGCCATGATGGAATTATTAAATAAAGTAAGTGAAAATGATCCTGTGTTCTGTCCAAATGGTTGTGGACATTCGTATATTGGTACACACCGCAAACATAATCTCAAAAAGCATTTAATATATGCATGCGGCAAAAATCCACAATTCCAATGTGTAATTTGCTTGAGAAAATTTGCCCGCAAGCATACTCTAAAAAGCCATTTATTATCTATTCACAAAAAAATTTTTAATTCTCATTTGGTTTAATATTATATAGCTTTAATGTAAATAACAAAAATTTTTCAAACTGAAATATACATGAATATTTTATTTAGCACTACACTCAGTTCAATTCAATTTTCCTTGTATCATAAGTATTTTAATAATATATATATATGTATTATGTACAATACACTATTGATATTCCGATATTCAATGTTTTTCAAGACTAAATGTAAACATTTTACAACTAACAAAAGATGCCTAAGCAATTAACCTAGTATTATTTAATACATGAATATTGTTAAATGTAATGTAACGTCCAATGGCCACAGATGCCTCGGATAGTATGTTTAATAAAAAAAAAATCTTTTTAAATAACATACATATTACATAATGTAGTGTATTTACTTCTTGTATAAAGGG